TGACGTAGCCGCAGCAGCCGAATGAGAAGACAAACAATTACAACACTTTTTTTTTTTAAATCTAGCCTTATTCTTGCACCGAATTCTCATGAAAATCTAGTACAGCTTGAATCTAGAATAGTAGAAATATGAAACTGGACACATGAAGTCCAGCTGCCCCCACAGATAATTAAATTGTTTACATGTATTAACATCCACTTGGCAGGGAATGGGGATAGCTGAATTATAAATGAGGAAAACAGAGAAACAAAAGAAAAGCTGTGTGTCCTTTATATAATGTATTAAACTTCTCACTTGGCTAGAAAAGGCATGGTGCTGAGCTTCTAATGAATTAGGAAATCCAGTTTGTTGCCAGATGCCGCCCACCATCTCAAACTAATATTCTCTTCTCAGGCCCCCAACATAACAAGCTTCTATTACCCAGTCAAGTAAGGAGGAGAAATGATCAGCGCCAGAAGGAACCCTGATGTGGAAAAACTGAAGTCTGGGTCTTACACTGTTAGTAGGGGAAGAAAAGGACTGGCCCACTGCTCTAGTGCTGTGTGGGTCACCAATTTCCCTTCTTTTCCCTCCTACAAGGGAGTTTGGGTCCTGAGCTGGGAGCCCTGAAGAAGGAGCAGAAGGATGTTAGGGTTCTGTGTTGTTCTGCAGTGTGGATCTTTAAAGGAAAGAGAAGTATTCCTCTAAATATAAGCAGATCTGGTCCCACCTCAGGCAGAGGATAATGCAGGATATACAATATAGTAAGAGATAGTTGAGATTAAAGAAAAAAAGGACCAGAAAGAGATCTGGTAACAGACTTCAGATATATTAAATGTGTTAAGAAGACAGCAGTGATCAATTGTTCTTCAAGTCCATTGAAGTAGGTAGTAATGGACTTAATCTGCAGCAAAAGAGATTTAGGTGACATTAGGGAAAGTTTTTTAACCATACTGATAATGAAGCTCTTGAATAGGCTTCCAAAGGAGATTTGGGAATCCCTATCATTGGTTGGACCTGTCAGGGATGGTCTAGTACAGTGGTTCCCAAACTTTTCAGCATCACCCCTCCATTTCTGATTTTTGAAAAACCCTCATGCCGCTGACGCCGCCCCCCCTCCCCAAAAAAACCCCACACCACAAAACTGAGCAGTGCAGCAAAGCTTGATGGGGGGGGCTGGGTCGCCTTGCCCCCTCCCCCCGGAATTTCTTCTCACTCCCCCCAGGGGTGCACACACCCCAGTTTGGGAACCCATGGTCTAGTATCTGTGGTCCTGCCTTGGCACAGGGGGCTGGACTAGCTGACCTCTCAGGGTCCCGTCCCAGCCTAAATTTTTATCATTAAGAGGTTACCTGAGGTACAGTGAAAAGACATTTCAGGAGACTGCTGAAGTTTCGGGTTTCTCAAGACTATCTTGGAAAAAAGAGAAATCGTTCGCTTGCACAGCGCAAGTAGTTACATTTCCACAAATATCTAACTTCTAAGGTTAAAATCCCTTTATAGATACATTCCCATTTGTGAAAAGGCCAAGCCACAGTTCTCTGTGCTCACCTTAGCTTCAGTGAAAATGCACACAATGCAAACATTTATCCAGACCTGAAAATTAAGAGTGTATAGTCAGTTTCACTGTTTCCCCTGCAGAGTCAATTTCCTGTTTCCTCAGCACAGACAATTTCCTCATTTGTTAGTGTGGTTCTTTCACACAATAGGAGAGAGAAACACATTTAAATAGGAAAGTGCAACTATAAAGCTACTAAAACTGACAGATGACTCAGAAGCAGCTGTAGAAAACTAAAACTGCTTTTAATTCTTTACCCACTATATTTCAGATTGATGGTGCCTCTTGGATAAAAGCCTCCACTCATCTCCCCTTGGAGAAGACAATTGACTAAAGCTTTGTCTGCACTGGTAATTGAACTATAAAACTTATAAGCCCACAAGCCTGAAAGACTAAAGTTTCAGTGCAACAAGTGCCAGAATGGTCAGCACATTGTTGGTAGGTGTGTTCTACTTCTGACAATGTGAACGCCACTCATTGGGTACGGAAATATTTTGTCTGCAAAACAGGTGACAAAACAATGGTTACACGGCCTGACAACACCATAGCTACGTCGACATGGCTGTGTCGCTAAAAGCTGCATAACGTAGACAAAGCCTAAGAGATTAGCACAGCCAGAGACTTTGCTTTTTACACCAAAGAGAAGTTGAGGCATTCCTCCCCCCGCACTGGACTACTTTTTTTTGATTAATCAATGACTGGAACAGCAATGCCCTACAATTATAGTGACGCAACATCCAAGCCCAGTTAGACACAGTGTTTTCAGCAGCACATCTCAGCTAAGCAAGTTTTCCTGCTCTTTGAACAGAACTCATCCAGAGATGTGCGAATAAACTTGGTTTCTTATGACTTGGTCCACCAGGCGTGTTCACATGACTGCACAAAACTAACACACTGGGAACCAAATGTGCATTGTAGAAGGAAGATGCAACAGATTTACTGTCCAGCTCATTTACAGAGATGAGGGAGGGGAGGCAACAAGCAGAAAAATCTCCCACTCTTCTGTCCCCCCTTCACTCCCCCCATTTTATAATGGTATGAATGGAAGGAACCTCTTTGGGCCTGCCACTGCCTCGTTTCTAGTGTATTTATTTATACTCCCTCCCACAGATGTATGTGAATACACAAGATTCTAGGCAGTGAAGAATCCAGCCCAGTGGCCAGAAGTCACAGAGCAACAAGTCATAGGAGAGTTGACTTCCAACCCTATGCTTTACACTAATTCCTGACCTTAAAATATGGGGGTGAGGGGAAGGTGGCAATGATATTAAATTGCCAAGTTTGAGCAAACAATGAAGTCACGTGCTGCAGCTCACACCACCTAAGGCCAGATGTAAAACTGAGGTAGAGAAGTTGAAGTCATAGTGCTCGAGGTACCAGTAAAATTAATCTTTAAAGATTGCCTTTGATTTCACTTATTCAAGTGTTCAGTGTTTTCACGGAAAACAAAATCAGTATTTTTTAAATATTCATCTCCCCATCAAAAGACTTGGATGAACGAAGTGCTGCACCACATTAGACTCCTCTTACTCAGACATATGACAACCATTAAGAATAACCTTGACATCACCCTGATGTTTACGTATCTCTGCAACTAGCTTTAGAACAAGCCCCACACCTAAAGACTAAACGAATCACCTTCATGCAGCCATCTGCCCGGAAAGCCATGCCTACGTAGCTAAGCATTCCTTTAGTCACCATGTCAGAACTCAATCTTTCCAAAGTGGACCGATATACACAAGTCTCTGTTCAATAAGGGTATGAAACTGTTGGCAAAAGCTTGAAGTCATATGAAGATGAAGAACTAGGCATGGTCAGGCCTGCTGGGGAGAACGAGGAAGGGGGCAATTGCCCAGAGTAAGGCTGTAAGCAAGCAGTTAAGTAGTTGACTGTACAACTACTCGCATTCTCCCCTCCCCAAACACAGAAGCAGAAGGGGGAGGGAAGCAGAAGATGGCTCAAAAGCCAGTTCCCCTCAGCACTGTCTCCATGGTGCTGCCTCTCCCTCCACCCCCGAGCTGCTGCCTCTATTGGGGGAGGATGCCACAAAGCACCCTTTGCTCCTCACTACAAGCAGAGGCTGCTCTACACCCCACAGACCAGCCTCTGTCAATGGCCAGCCCCAGCTGCCGTGGACAGGAGCTGCCTGTGTGCCTGGCTCCTATTACTCTTAAACTGCAGAGCCACGGTGGGGGTAGCTTCTGGACCCATTGCAAGCCAGGACTGAGTGCCTTCCCTTATCGACTAATCATGTTGTCGATACAAACTGTACCAACTGTACGATTAGCTAATTACCTGTCTCTTAACATCCTTAGCCCAGAGCTCCCCCAGTCACTACAGCAGGGCTAAGGAAGCAGCTCCTGAAAGCAACCAACACAGCTGGCTGGCAGATGGTTTCCATGTGCTGCCCCTGCCCTGACTCTGTAGCTCCCGTTGGCCAGGAATCACAGTCAGAGGGAACTGCAGGAGCGGTGCCTGCAGGAGGCAGCACATGGAGACACTTGGCCCCCTCCCAGCTAAGATCTGGTGCAGAGAGATGTGCCAGTTGCTTTTGGGAGCCACTCAAGGTAAATGCCAACTCACTGGCTTCCCACCACAGCCTGCACCCTTTCCCCAGCCTGGTGAAAGTGATTAAGGGTGGTGGAGAGTGAGCGATGGAGGGAAAGGCGGGGTGGGGTTGGGGAAGAGGCGGGACAGGGGTCTGGTCTCAGGGAAGAGGTGAGGCAAAACTCTTTGGATTTGCGTGGTTAGACAGGTGGCAGCCCTCTTGGGGGCCACTGACTGTTCTGCCCCACGGGCCGTGCATAGTACAATGTTTGGATTTCCTTTCAAATCAAAAGGACAGCGACTCAAGTAGCATGTTGCACGGTGGAATACTGAACGCACAGCCCGGGAGACAGACGACCAAGGGGACTTCTAAACCATCTTTGTACCTTCCCCATTCCTGTGCTGTTCTGGGAGCTACAGAACCTGCTGGGGTGACTTCGCAGAGGCTGCCAAAACCCAGACAGACCCCCCCCCCCCCCCAAGCCTGCCCTGGACACAGACATCTCCTCAGACTGCCCTATGGGCTACAGTGCTTCTCCACCAGCATGCTCCTCTCAACTCTGGCCTTCCACCAGCGCACGGCTTTTGAAGGGGAGGCAGCCTTATGGCCATTTTCACCATTGGGTGCCAGGGGAAGTCATCTTGAGTCCTTGTACACTACTCTGATCCTTTTATATCACCTAGTAGGGCAGAGTCACACCCTTGGTGAGTGTATTATAGCTCCATCCCCTGTCGTAGTCTGTTTTTAGATCTTTGAGCTCACAAGAACCTCTAGCATACGGATCATCGCTTCTCTATATATGTGCAACTCCCAACCCTCCGGGGCCACTGGGCACTACTGCAATAAGATTACTAGCATGAACAAAGGACTGGACAACCCAAGGCTCGGAAGATTTAGGAAATCAGAAGATTTTACCTTGCCGCTGTATAAAAACCCTGAGCAGTGGGTTTGCACTTGAAACAGCCTTGAGGAAGTTATCATCATTATTAATAGGAAGAAGGTCCCCATGAACATCAGCATATCCAATCATCACCTCCATGCTGGAGATGTGGTGGATGTGAAGAATGAGCTTGTAGAAGTCTTCAAACTTTCCTGGCTTGTAACGGTCCAGAGAGAATCTTCGGAATTCTGCCCCAAACTGCAACCAGAAACAGAAAGGATGTGAGTGGACAATGCAACAGTTAAATAATCAGGTTGTGCATTTTAATAGTGCGTTTGCTGCTTTACTCTCCCCTACACTGAATGTGGCTGGGATGTGCCCTTCCAACTCTCCCATTCCCAGATTACACTCTTCCAACAAGGTTTGTATTAGGGTAATAACAGGCTACTTCGTAAAAATGTTATCCGTAGTATTAATCAATGCTAGCTTACAAGAGTCTTTAAGAGTCAGTTTAAAAAAATTGATTAAATGGTACATTTGAGCTAGAACTAATAAAGCAGGATTCCACTAGACTAGAACATTCAACTGTTCAAAATCAGCATTTCTGGTGTCCCTAAAATTACTTTTCTTAAACCCAAGAAGAGAAACAGTCTTCACACCCAATTTCAAAAATAGCTGTTTTAAGTCGTTTAAAAAAATCCTTGACATTTCCCCATCAATATCACAATGAACTTAAAAATGCCACATGAGACATTCAGGGCAGTGTGATGTGCAGAGTGCAATCTTCCATTAAAAATGGACAACATCCATGTTTGCATGCTCTAAAGTGACTTGGTATTTGAGTCCCAGGAGGAAAGTTCTTCAGATTCTAAGAGAGTTGTTACAGGTTTTTTGAATTCTACACTCCATTAGACTGATTTATGTCTGGCTAAAGAGCTACAATTTTTGTGGGATGAAATTTCACATGTTTTCAGTAGCAGTTGAAGGAATAGTGTTAATTTAAGTACAACTCAAAATTATGATATAAAGAACAGCTGTTATAAGACTTCAGACCCCGCCCCCCAACAGAGATTTTTCCACACTTGTTTCCTAAATACCAATGCATATAATACTTACACAAATAAATACTTCCCCGCAGCATCAGAAATGAAAACATTGTTTAATCAGTCCCTCTTTCATATTCTTAATAAAAGTGAAACTGGTTTCACCATTTGCAAAACCTGGACATCCAATATACTTTAACTTAACTATGACTTGTTACATAGTTCACAAAAGTCTGAGTAGGGTTCTTACTCTTGTCCTTGCATGTTGTATAAAGGGGCCAAAGTGGCATGTAGGAGTTTTAAAAGAGGCAGCAGGCAACAACTCCTTGCAGCTTGAACTCGAGACTGCCTTCAGAGGACCCTGCCTGAGCTGTGGCCAGGACATCCAATATACTTTAACTTAACTATGACTTGTTACATAGTTCACAAAAGTCTGAGTAGGGTTCTTACTCTTGTCCTTGCATGTTGTATAAAGGGGCCAAAGTGGCATGTAGGAGTTTTAAAAGAGGCAGCAGGCAACAACTCCTTGCAGCTTGAACTCGAGACTGCCTTCAGAGGACCCTGCCTGAGCTGTGGCCAAGAGATGTCATGCGGCAGGGAGAGCGTGGTAAATTAGTTTTACTGCCCCTGGGCAGCTAGTTACAGGCTGCTGTAACTTATGCAGTCCTACAGAACTAAGATACATTGGGAGCCATTGGCTTAAGCAACTTTACCCTCCTTTCCCCTGCAAGTTCAGGGCTACCACCTTTAGAGGTGCAGCACAGAATCTCACTCCATATATGAAAGCTAACAGTCTCTATCCCTTATGGAAGCACCCTCTAGAATTAAATTGAGAATATCTGACATTTTCCACTATGTTTTACGGGGAGAGGGCAAGGGAAAGGGTTTTGTGTTTTATTTAAGAGTAATTTCTGAAGCGCTTCATAGATTCCATCGCTATTCAAATTCTATTGGCCTTTTCACAAAGGATTTAGATATCAGCAGAGTGCTATTGCATTCAATGCTTAGAGAGAGGCCAAATGGATGGCCGAGTGCAGAAGACAACCTATGCTGAAGCTGTAAGCAAAAATGATCACTTCAGCCACAGTTGCAGATTCATCCCTTCTCTGCCAGCACAAGAAATGTCTGACAGAGCCCTAGGGCAGTGGTCCCCAACGTGGTGCCCATGGGCGCCATAGCGCCCACCGGGCCATTTCTGTGCGCCCGCCGAGTGATCTGGGCTGGCCCCATCCCCGGGTGCGTGGCATGTGAGCGGTGCCGGCCCCTGGGCATGCAGTATATAGGCGTCCCCGCCCCTGGGCACGCAGCACAGGAGCGGCGCCAGCCCCAGACGCGTGGCGCATGGGCACTGCCGCCTCCTGGGCATGCAGAGCATGGGCTGTTCTGGCCCCGGGCCTGTGACGTATGGGCAGCCCCACCCCTGGGCGTGGGGCACAGGAAGGGCGCCGGCCCTGGGAGTGCAGTGCATGGGTGGTGCCGGCACTGGGCACGCGGCGTATGGGTGACTCCACCCTGGGCGTGTGTGCGGCCCTGCCCCTGGGTGCCCAGTGCGTGAATGGCCCCACCCCCGGGTGCCCAGCAGCCCCAAAAGGTTGGGGACCACTGCCCTAGGGATTGACCCTCATCTTCCCTCCCATTGTCCACTAGGCCCACCAAAACTAGCTCCTTTTTTGTAATGTAGGTTGATCAGTAAAGCTGACCAGAGGACAATTCCATTTCACAGCAACTTCTGAAGTTTAAGGCCACATCTATCCGGAAGCCAGGATCGACGCTCTGAGATTGATCCACTGGCAGTCAATTTAGCATGCTTAGTGAAGACCTGCCAAATCCACCACAGATCGCTCTCCAGTTGACCTCTGTACTGGACTCCCAGCAAGAAGAGTAAGGTAAGAAACTCCCCCATCAACTCCCTATGGTATAGACCCTGTAGTAACTCAACCTAAGATACATCGACTCCTGCTATGTTATTCACGTAACTGGAGCTGCATCCATTAAGTCAACTTATGCTATGTTTACAATACCACAGTGCTTTGTTCTGCTTCTGTTCCACACTGGAATGAACATGAAGCTTTTTTTAATGTTTTTGCATAAGTGGAACAGGGAGTGAGCCTGATCGCCTAATATCCCAGGCCAGTGCCCTATTCAATACACTACACGAGAGAAGGCATAAGAGCCCTTCCTTCCTACTGCCTTCCAAAATGTTACTGAAATCAACGTATCTCCTTCAAACATTTTGGCTTTACCAAAATGGCACAGTTCAACTATATATCAGTTTCAAAAAAAGTGAAAGTGTAGCTCCAGACTTTAGGAATATGGTAAACAGACACTATAAAAAAAAGCATCTGCCCATGTCAGTTCTGTAGGTATTCAAGAGAGCCTCAATCCTGAACTTTGGGGACAGTTTTAATCTGTACTCAAACTCAGGCCCATCTTAAATAGGTCAAGGTTTTTCAGTCAAGCTTCTTTTTGACTACAGGTTGAACCTCTCTAGTCCAGCAATATCCATGGTCTGGCATATTAGTCAGCCAGATATCCACTTGTCATGTGTGTGGTAAAGTTTCCCGTACTACCATAAAATTCGTTTACAGCCACCAGACCTGGATCTCAGTGTTCTGTGCTCTTATTTAGCTCTAATTTGCCCCTACATGTCTTCTAAGAACCCAGTAAGCAGTGGAAGTGTGGGTAATGCTGCTAGACTATATTGATCACCTGTGGTCCTGCAAATTCTCTGGTTTGGCACCAGTTAGGTGCCCAGGGTGCCAGAGTACAGAGTTCAACCTGGTGTATTATCATAAACCAGATTCAATCATAGTCATCAGTGCAGGCTCAAAAAAGAGCCAGCCATTTAAGGGTCCTCCCCCACCACACAATTTGTTCTTCAAAATCTAAAGTCTTTTTAATTAAATAAAGTTCCTGGTTAAGACTTACTCTGTGGAAGTCACTCCACCCCAAACCTCTTTGATCTATTGCTAACACAGCCCAATGATAATATGAATGCAGGTATGAAGTGTTATTGTTCATTTTAAAACAGGAAATGTTTAATTTTGGTTGGGATCATGCTCCTAAATTATGTAAAAGCAGTGCTTTTGAAAAATCCTGCCCTTTGATCACAGTGATGATGCTAATTTAAATGCTTATTTAGTCCAAATACAACAAATAAAGCAGCTTGTTTATAATATAAACAACTGGATCTAGTTTAGATTTCAATTCAGACTACCCACCCAAAGGCACAAAAGCCAGAACAAAGTAGACCCAATTTCAATGGAGTCAAAACTGCTCTTCAAACTTTCCTAGTTTATGTGATATTACTTCCACTGACATAGTTTAAAATGCAGGTTAACACAAATGAGTACATAGCAGTGTTTTAAGTGTAAAAAATTGGACTGCAAATTCTTTCCCTCTAGATTTAGAGAGCTATTCCACTTAAACTGGTGGCATGTAACTGAGTACTAGCTCGTTAAACCCAAGTGACAAGATCCAAGACTAAACATTTTCAGATTGCAGTTAGAGTTGGCCACACCCTCTATTTCCCAACTTCAGGATTATTTTAATCTAAAAATAGCAACACAGTAGTACATATTGTTGATTAAATGCCAATTTATCCATCATGTGAATTGATGGTGCTAAACATAAACATGCATTTCCTACCCTAAACAGATTGCAATCTAAGGTCACAATCCTACCAGCTAATCCAAGTATGTAGATCTTTATGTGCACAGAGCGTTCCACTGAGTCCAATGGAACATCAAGCAGACAGAAATGTCAACTATCAAGGACATAAATGCAGAATCAAGGGCCATAAGGTGACTGGGTCCCACTGAAGTCAATAAGATTACTCACATGAGGTAGTGACAGAACTACAGACATAAGCATGTGAGAAACAAGCTGGGTGAGGTAATATTTTTATTGGACCAACTTCTGTTGATCAAAGAGACAAGTTTCCAAAGTACAAAGAGCTCTGCTTCAGGCAGCTCAGTGTAGCTCCGAAGCTGGTCTCTCACACCAACTGAAGTTGGACCATCAAAAGACACTGCCTCACCCATCTTTTCTCTTTCATGCCCTGGATCCACATGGCTACAACCACACTGCAGTAAGTCTAAGGGACATGGAAGGAAGGAATAAGAGAAAGGAAGCTGCTTGGGAGAAACAACACAGATTTTAAGAAGTAATGAAAGGGGGGGATTAAATTTTGTTTTGTTTTTAAAGGTTGGTGGC